AACAATAATTCTTATGAAAAAAATAAATAACTTCATACTTTAAAATTTCATTTAGATATCATAAACTAATTAATAGAGCTCAAAACCAAAAAAACTACCAAATAAAATAATACTTTTTTTGATCTAGATCTAGAAGAACTAGATCATGATCTAGAAGACTATGGTATCTACCGTCAAAAAAAAATCATAAAGATCGTCGAATTTTTTTTAAAAAAATCTTTATTACAAGAAAACGGCCCGGCCGATCTTTACCAATATCTATCGAATGATTTTGAATTTTCAAAATTGATTCAGAATTGCGGGCTAAAACGTGGACGAAAATTTTTTCACTTTTCTGCAATTTACAAGGAAACGGTCAGGCCGATCGTCGCATAAAACTAAGAAACGCTACTCCTCATCGAGATGGGCTTATAAATTTTTAAAATCGCAAAAAATCTGTTCACACATACACACACACATACTTTTTCCAAATGTGGTCTCATTCGACTCAGAATGGCTTGAAATGTCGAAAAAAATAAAATTAGCGAGTCGGATTTTTTGATGAAAACATAAACTTCTCCTTCGGGAAGTTAATAAAATCAAACTTAAATAATGAACAGATCCCTTTCTCATTATAAATTGATCAAGTGCTAATCAAGCATCTTTTTTAACTTCCCTAGGGTAAGTTACAGTCGTCGCAAAAAAATCGAAAATGAGAACTTTTGAATATCTTTACTTTTTAAAGGTTTCTGAACATTTTGGCATACCTCAGAATAACTGGATATATGTGTATATATGTGGGTGTGAGTGTGTATGCGCGGATACAATTTTTAGTTGACATTTGTGCATCATATATCAGATATTTTATAGTACAAAGTTTTGTGTACATTTTTATGGGTTTTGTACTTACGCGCTTCGATACTGCTAAGCAGCGATTGCTTTAGAAAAAGTTCAAAATTTTCAATAAAACTCAAAATATAAAAAAATCTTGGTTTTTCAAAGAAGTATTTTTTTCAAAACTCACAAAATTCTCATTTTTTCAAAGTTTTGAAAAAAAATTAAAGTTTTCTTTTTAGTTTTAGTTTTTGGTAAGCTTCAGCAATTTACCTTAAGGCATGATGCCATGCACTACTAGTTAATTTTTATTTCGCTTTTATCTTCAGGTCAAAAACATCTCAACACGGTGGTGCTGTTACAAGCGAAGACCCTCTCGGAGAACTGAGGTGGGATAAACCTCTACCTTTGTCAGTATTTGTAGAAAGATATTCTTTGCCCAAGTTGGTCAGAATCAATGACAATCCAGTGGCCGAAATGTTGTGCAGACATTTACCTAACCATGCTGACGTCACCGCCAGGATAGCGCGTGCCAGAAGTGGCAGGAACGCTGGAAGGATACTGAGGATACCGAAAAGTTACCAAGGTAAGTGAAATAAATGATCATAGTGATAGGTTTTTTTTGTTTTATTTTACATATCAAAGTATACAATATGTACATTCAGCTACTTTAACAGATAATTTGATACGACAGCGTGTGAAGGATAGCTGTCCTGCGATAGCACCTTCTGTAATTATAGCATCAGATTTTATATGGTTTAACGAAATAAGTCATTGCAGTTTCTTTTCTTAAGTTGCTTTGGTGGTAAAGGTTTGAGCAGGTCACAGCCTAGTTGATTTGGATGTCGACTTTGCCAAGTCTTGTATCTGTAGCAGAAATGAGTAATTTCTTCTTTCACAGTTAGAATTATAAGGGATTGATGCCAGTTCGGTATATATTTTGGGGCGTTTACAATTTGTTTCCAAATTTTGTTCTGGAACCTCTATATAATGGCAATGTTTGATTAACTAGCCGCACCCCATAGTTGTAGACCGTAGGACCATATTAGTTTAATAATTATCTTGTGTATTAGGAGTTTATTTTCTAATGAAACTTGTGATTTTCTGTCCATTAACCAATTAAATTTCCTATGAGTCAGTTTGAGCTGCTGGCGCGTCTTAATTATATGTTCATGCCAGGTTAGTCTCATATCCAAATGTATTCCCAGATATTTAACTACATTGGATACAGGGACCAATTCACCACTCAATCTAAGAGGAGGGCATGAACATGAATTGTTTACAAAGTGATAAGTATTATCATAATTAACAGCATCTTCATCATAGATTTTTGTACTTCATTCTGAGCAAATTTGTCATTTCCCCTGTGGCATTTGTGTCCAGTTTCTCCTGTCGATGGCAGTACACCATATATGAATTCTGTCGTGCTTTATTGGCTCATATAATTCACGTATATGTTCGTTTACACACGCCACGATGTAAATCTCATTCGTCATTTAAGTATCCGTCGTTGAGTTGTTGTAAATGCAATAACGGTATATCAGAATCAGAATCCACATACGTGTTGTGGAGATACAGTCACCGGAGCTGATTGCTTTTTAAGGAAGTAACTATTCGCAACATTGTTGTTGTTTGGATCGAATTTTAACTGTACGACTTTAATAGACTTATTTAATACAACAGTTAAATTTCTCAATTCAATCGCGAATTTGTCAATATAAGTTTAGTGGTTATAGACATCTGTGAATTTTAATTAAGATCAGTGCGCTCGTAAGTTAGAAGATAGTGATTAAACGGCATGTCATCGATTCTTCCTTGTATTGATTACATAAAGTATTGATTGATTCCACATGGATTCTACTTTGACGAGTTCATAATCAGAAATGTTTAACTGTTTAAATCAATTATTCATTTTGAGATGAAAAAATCTTATTTTGATGATATGTTGAGATAGTGTAATTTTGGTTTAGTGATTTAAGCAGGTTTGACATTTCAATCTAATAGTATATTTATAAGTTTTCAATAATATTAAAATACTTTATTTTGAAAATTATGAAACCCATTACAATTTTGCCCAATAAGGTTCAAAAATATCGATATGCCATAAACCACCACGAGGAGTTTATTAGAAGGCGCGTCTGGTGACCTAAAATTATACAAATTAAGACTGGTGTTCGTGTATCAAATCTCATGTATCAAATAACTTGATGTTTCTAACTTCTGGATGTTCCTAATATATTTCCAGGGTTTTTTTAAATTTCATTTTTAATAGCAATCAGAATACATGACAATTCTATGAGCTATTTGGCTTATGTTATTCACTCGCGCACGTACACACACACATATACATTAATCTGATAAATATTATATTGATAATTAAAGAATCACTTCAATAAGTGATTGTACTATTTTATTCATATAAAGTTGTGATAGTTCTAAGGGTCCTTCATATTATCTTTGGGCAGCTTCTTCTTCAGTCTTCTTAAAGTTGGTGTCTCAAGAAGCTGAGTGACTATATAATTTGTATGATGTTTTAGGCTATGAAAATGCTTTACACTTTTGATTTGTATAATTCTGTTCATAAATCCAATATGAAGATCGTCGTGTAAGATTTTATTGCTAACAAACCATGGAGCATCAGTAATTTCACTTATTATTTTCGATTGGGCACGTTGCATTAGCACTATGTTGGGTTTACTCGCACAGCCCCACAATTTTATGCCATAAGTCCATATTGGTTTTATTACTACCTTTAAAATTATAAGTTTAATGTCAATAGATAGAATTGCCTTGCGTCAGTAGCCAGTACAGTTTAGCGATTCGAATTTTAATAGTATTTTTAGGTTGTTGAACTATTTTTAGTTCCAGTAAATATATTAAAAAAAATAATTTTTTATTTCTGCCCTGTCAAAAGGTATATACATTGTAGTGAATAGCACATTTATCAACAAAGAATATTGCTTTTGAAAGAAATGAAAAAAATATTAAAGCCAATGCAGATTATTAAAAATTCAGCTATCCCTTTTATTTTCCCTGTTTTAATCAAATTTATAAATAGAAGTTGTTTGGCTAATGGTTTAAATCTTAATATGTATTATAATTCCTTAACATTTGTAATTTTTGTACGTTGTTTTAAATGATTTATGCGGGAATAACTCAGTTAGATGCATGTTCGACTCACACGCCAGATATACTCGGTTCGAGTCCTGGCACTGACACAGAGATTTGATTTGTTGAATTGAAATAAGTAGAATTTAAATTGTTGATTTGAGATAGAATAGAATTATAAGTTAGTTGAAATAAAATAGAATTAGAAGCAAGGTTAGAAGAAAAAAAAGAATGAAGAAGTATAGGATATATGAAGATAGTATATGTTATAATAAAAAATATGGATATATGATATAGTAAAGATAGTATAAACATGTAAAAAGAAATAGGTATGGCTACTTAAAGCATTTAAGTATGCGAGGCCAATAAAAAATGACTATGTTATGTCAGGAATAATTGTCAAATAAGGAAATAAATTATTTTTCCTTCAGAGAATGACGATATAGTGACATACGATGAAACCGCTGGCAACTGCTTCTCGAATTTCTTAATAAGCCTAAGTCCAAATGCTTATAATTATGATAAATTCTAATATGTTATTAAGTTGCTGGACGAATGTGTTAGTCACGTTGTCATTCCAGTTATTCGAAATGAATTTCAATAATTTTTGCTAATCCTTATATATAAAAATTTGCAGTTAGTATTAGTAATTAGCGACTATGTCAATCAACCGGATTATATTCGTATTGCAAATAGCGGCTTTGTCAACTTCGATCAGAGCATGCTAATTCGGCGAAATCGATTCTTGATACCCGTTATGAAATCGAATTCCATAATGTCGAATGACTTTTAATCTCAAATGAATTGGCTATGAGATGATATAACCTACGACGTATTTGCGATCATCAATCTTAGTTTATTATGTAAAATTTACAAAACTTTTATTAAGAACAGATTTGATTTTACATTCTTCTAACCTATTCATGTAGCATATTGAAAATAATTACAGATTTACATATTATCACGCAAAAAATAAAAATATTTTTTTCTGTGGTGCGGAAAGGTAATAATGCGGCTTGTTGAGTTTCTTTCAATACGGAAGTAAGTTTTATGCACTAAAATGAATAATGCGGTATAAAAACCAAACATTATCAAAAATATTTATATACATTTATAAACGAAATGATTTGATACTAAAAATATAATTTTTAGAAATATCATTTTACAGAACAGTATCGTATGATATTAACAGTGGCAATGAACTTTAAAAAATTTATGTTTTCTCTTTAAGGAAACTTGATTTTATTATTTAATTATGCGGTTATTTACTTTGCAACTAATATTTTTATTTATTTCGTCTGCATATTAAAATGATATCCCACGTGAAATCTGTTAGTCATTGATTGAATGATTGACCTGTAACATATTAGAAAATATGAACATTAATAAGTTCAATGACGTCTTTTAAAATATATGGAGAAGGTAATGAAATTAATCTTATATTTGAATATTTTGTATATTTTATTTAAAACAATGACTTCGAAATCATTCATATTAGAAACATTCAGAATATTTTTAACATAACGTTCAATTAGGAATTTTATCTTTATTCATAATTTCAAATATTTAGTTTAAAAAAATTCTCTCCGCAATATAAAAAATAGATAATTTATAAAAAAATAGATATATAAATCAAAACAAATGTTGGGCGTTTATATACTTATAGTACTTTTTTTACGTAGTTTAATGTTCACCAAATTATGTTATAGTTGCTACTGATGCCATCAAAATATGTTGACAATATCCATTTTGTTAGAATGATAAATTCCACCGCTGCCACCAAAATATGTTGGGTCCGCTGCCACCAAATAAACGGAGCGCCGACCAGTTTATTTTTGAACAAAAAATTTGATATTGATTATTTATTTCCTCGATCCTTTTACACAACTTTACTTATGTGAATGCAAATGTACGGGTTGTACAATGCAACAAAGATTTATTATTATTAGGAGAAATAAGCAGTAGAATATTTTACGTAGTTTGTATGTTATTTTGTATGTACAGTTGATAACAACGAATAATTACTTATCCCTAATAGTTTGTATATTAATAGTTAGTAATAATTAATTATTATAATAATTAATTACGTTGGTGCATAACATCATATAATAAAGAAGATTCGTTTGTGGAGGAGGAAAAATTATAATAATGAGCACAAGAACATTGAACGAATTCGACGCACTCATTATGGACATTTTACTGTTTTTCATTTTAATATAAATATTTTAATATTACTCAGAATGTTTTGGAAAATATATTGTTTAGTGCAATATTTTGAATAATCAACTTTTGGAATCATTTATCATGTAAAAAATTATAATATATGTTGTATTAAACATAGGTATACATATGAAGTACACACCAACTTCAATCAAAAGTTCCCAGTGAAATCCGTCCTCATTAGCAAAGCAAAATACAAACGGTATCAACTGGCGTTGTACACGGTCAACGTGGATCTGTCCCTAATAGCGTGCGACC